AAAAAAAAAAAAAAAAGAAAAACCTCCACTATGGATGAATTTCCTACCTTTGTATTTTTTAGAATCATGAGGTCTGTATTATTATTTCGTATTAGGAACTGCAGATGTAACTCGATAGCCATTTCACCACTTAAAATTTTAATCATTTTCAAAGTCTGGTCCTTGGGCTCTGGACTCTGCCAAAACAAACACGAATAAAACTTCATTAATTATTAAAATTTACAAATCCACCTTATTTCATTAGCCCTAAAACCAGGGAATTAAAGAAATGTATGTAAATACAACAAAATTCTTATTTTAATGGCAGAATTAGAAGACACTATCATTATTTGAAAGGGAGAAAATTTATTTAGTTTTTCATTAGATACCACTGAGATAAGATACCAGCTTGAGGGCTGTGGATTTAGCTCAGTGGTTCTGCTGCCTGCCTTGCACACTCAAGGACCCCAGTTTGATCCCTGGTACCAAAAAAAAAAAAAAAAAGATACCAGGTTGATGAAAAAAAGCCACAATTATTTCAAATTGAATCCCAATGTAAAATAGCTTAATAATAATAAAAAAATACTGGTAAAGATTACTGTTAATTTTCAGGAAAATTATTTTATAAGAGAAACTGTACAAATGAGAAACTCCCTATGTAAGACTGAGAAGACTGAATATGCTTAAGCAGCACACACATATGATCTCATCAACTCCCATGGCACCCAGAACGACTCTCCATCCTCCATCCAGGAGAACAGCAAAGGTTTACACACCTGAACATCAGAAACCAAAGTCCTAATGGAGGAAATACTGACATGCAACAGTCCATTGATCTACCATACCCCCCACCATGTCGCATGGACACTAAAACAGTACAGGGCTGGGGCAGTGCTCAGAGGTAGAGAACCTGCCTACCATGTGTAAGACCTTGGGTTCAATCCCAAGTACCATGAAAGAAAGAAAAAAAAAGAGTGAGACAACACAATTCATTATCACTATATGATAAGACACTATTCGTTAAATGTCCTGCTTATTTTTTTCCTGGCACTGAGACTGAACCCAGGCCCTGTGTATCCCCAGCCCTTTTTTGAATATTCTGAGACAGGGTTTCACTAAGTTGTTAAACTGCCCAGGCCAGGCTTAAATTGTGATCCTCCTGCCTCAGCCCGGCAGAATGCAGTTTTATAAGGATGCACCACCACACCCGAAGATGCCATGCCTTTCTGCCCCCCACCTTGTGAGAGATCACCAAAAGGTTGTCTGGGGCTAGGGATCTATTAGCTCAGAGGCACCACACCTGCCTCGCAAGTGCAAGGTCCTGAGTTCGATCCCAAGTACTGAAAAAAAAAAGCTTTTCTAGACAGGGATCATTCTTCAGTACAGGTCTCAGGACTTCATTTCTTCTTCAGGACCACATATCCAACTCAGGACCTTACGCTTGCACAGCAGGCACGGTGCCACTGAGCTAAATCCCTGGCCCTGGATTTGATTTAAGTGCTATTTTGGATGAATCCTTAAAACTAGAGTTTCTGTCTGTTTTGCTGTTTTCAAAAATTTCCTGCAAAAACACAGGAGGGCATTTACCAACCAGACAGTCACAGAACTCATCATGGCGGGGTACTGGCCACTGAGGCAGAGGGAAGAAACCCCCACCTACTGCTGCCCCCAGCAGATTCAGATTTAGCCCTGACCTTTATCCCTTTGTCAGCTTGAAGCAGCTCCAGAAGAGACCTTAGCCCAATAACCATAAAATAAATGCCTGAGATATTAGAATTCCCTCACCATAAGATGGCCCTAACTAGTGCTGACACAAGCCCCGCCTAGTGAGGTCACAGCTCCCCCAATCCCTGGCCAGTGCATCACTCAATCCCACCCAGCTCCTATAAGCCCCCCCACCCCAGTCCCCATAAGAAGCTCTTCCTGTCTCAGCCATGTTGCTTTCTCTCCTTTGTTCAGAGACAGCCCAGAAGACCTTCCAAATAATGAAGGCTTGTTATGGCTAAAAAAATCCCTGTCGCTTCTACTGAAAATCCATTTTTGAAAAATGACTTTGGTATTCAATTTAACAATATATTTTCAAAACAGCCAGTATATATCACTAATTTTAAAAATCTTACAATACACCACGAGAATACATGTTAAATAGCAACTTTAACTTCACATAGTGTACTCACTGTGTCTGGTGTCTTTCCAACAAGTGTATTGCCTGTCTTGTCTTCTGTTTCCATCATTTCACTAAAATTAAGAAAATCAACAATGAGTAATACAGTAACTCTTTTCTGAATAGAATATATAGGCAATATGTTAATGCCACAGATCTGAGACATGTCCAAATGAAGAATTTAAAAAAAAAAAAAAGGTAATTTCCCAAGTATTAAAATAAGAAATAAGAAGAGATTCCTAGGCATCTCTGAGCTAGAGGAAGCCTAGTATTGAATTTCCCATAGGTGAATACAAAAAATGTACAAAGTAACTAGGTTAGTGAAAACCATAACAAAAGCAACAAAAACAAGGGACAAGGTATCTCATCCCATTCTCCAAACAGGTGAAGATAAACCAACCACCAGCTGCAAAAGTAGGAGGTGTTAGGGCCAATTTTTCGGAGAAGAGAATCGATCCCAGCTTGCCTGGGATCTGCCAACACCACAAACTTGATCCCTGTCAGCGTCTGGAAGCAGTGCAGTTTGAATGTGTCTGTCTCCAGAATCTCAATGCCTGAGCTGCCCTGTTCAGGGGACAGCTGAGAGCCAATGGCAAAGAGCGAGTGGAACATGGAGGCCAGCATGAGCCTCTCATTGGAGGTGAGGCGAGGCCGGCCAAAGCGAATGGACACAGGGTAATTAGCAGGGTTACTCAGATACTCCAGCACCTCTTTTCCATCAGGCACGTGCTTGCCGTTCACGTCTACACCACTGATAGCCAGCACTGCATGGCCCACCCGGATGCCATCGCGCTGGCCAAAGGCAACCAGCACACGCTGGTCGTGTAGCTTGAGCAGCAGATACAACGGGTAACTGAAAGTTTTCTCAGCCTCAGCCCGCGGCGCGTAGCTGTCGTGCTGTTAAATCAGGCCGCCAGCTTTGTTCACCATATACACACTAAAAATTGCTATTGCTGTCACTGCGGTGGCGGGACTCGATTGGGGATCTTTCCGATGTCCCCGCCCCAGAACCGCTGTCAAAAGACTGTCCCGGCTTCCACCCTCCCCTTTTCTTCCCTGAGCTTGCGCACTCGGGGCTACCTCCAGAGCCCTCAAATTACGCAGTCACAAGGAAATGATAAATTGCTTCTCATATCTCAGTGATAGAAGAGCACTATATGACTGCTTCAAGCTAGCAACAATGTCCAATAACATAGTGGGCAGCATTCCGGGAGCGCGGCTGGCTTCAAGAACACTGCTCGTTTGCAGCCAAACTTTCCGCCGCCACATTTTTTATGATTTCTAAGAACTTGCAAAACTAACCTACAATGATAGCAATAAAAATCAAAACAGGAGCAGCCATCGCTCAAGCGCCGGGAGGCAGCCTGGGCCCCGATCCACCGCGGGAAGGAGAGCCACGCCTGCTCATGACCCAGCAGCCACCATAAGCCGTCCCCCCCCCGAACTCTCAGACCTCCTGACTGTGCCAGTCTTTGGACCCACTCTGCAAAGACAGAGGTGATCATCAAGGGTATTTTTCTGAGTTCCCAACTTTGAACATCTTTAAAGAAAGGGCGTGGGAAACCTGTAATAGAACGTTGCAGAGTTCAACCATTCAGAAGGATGGGGAACTCAATCTGGGCCTTGCAGCCTGAGGTCAGACAGCATCAGGGGGTTCAGCCATCAGCTAACTGAGATCAGGGGTCTTCCATCCTCGCTCTGTCTGAGCCATTAAATGGTAAATACACTATATTGAAATTTTGTTCACTGCAGACAAGTTCTGGACTGCTTCTTGATTTCAATTTAATTCAGATGATTTAAGGGTGATAAGACTAGTGACTATCATAGGTAGTCAGTGTCCAAGTTGTGCTTGATCTTAATGTGTTGCTGATTGTATCAGTTGGGGTAAAGCATTGCCGTTGATTTGATGAGCTGTTTTCTCTGATGTTATGAAGATGAGAATGTCTGTGGGTCGTTAGAGACACAGAAGCTAGGGTGCAAATATATCAGGAAGATTTGGGTGATAATCCAGAGTTTAAACCAAGGACAGTCCGACAACAAAAATTAAAATGAGAAAACACTTAAGCAAGACACAAGGACAGACTTCCAGTTCACCAATGGCAAACAGTAGGGCAAATGAGGATGAAAAGGCCGATAGTGAACCACCAGGACACCCTGAACTCAAAGCACAGGAAGTAACAAAACAGATCAATCAGGCTCTAGAAAAATTCAAAACAGAAATAATTTCCCAGATAACCATAGAGATAGTGAGCAAAATGGAAGTCGTGATTCGAGACTCTAGAGCAGAAACTGACAAAAAAATAGATGAGCTCAGGACCATGATAGAAGCCATGAAGGCCCAGCATAAGAAAGAAATGGAAAAAATAAACGCCCAACATAGGAAAGAAATGGAATCCATAAAACAGATTCAAACAGATATCCAGGAGATTAAACACTCTATTGAAAGTGTACGCAACAGAATAAAAGAATGCGAAGATAGGCTCTCAGATATAGAAGATAAGATTGCAGTCAGTGACCATGAAAAGAGAGGTCTCTTAAAAACAGTAAGAGATCATGAGAAATCGATCCAACAACTCCTAGATGATGCAAAGAAGAATAACATAAGACTGATAGGAATACATGAAGTAGCAGGAGAAAATACAAATGACTTAAAAAAGCTGTTTGCAGAATTAATGACAGAAAACTTCCCAAACAGAGGGGAAGAATTTGACATTCAGATAACTGAGGCATATAGGACCCCAACTAGCTACAATAAAAAAAAATCTACACCTAGACATATAATAATCAAGATCCCAGAAACCCAACAGAAGAACAAAATACTACAAGCAGTAAGAGAAAAGAAACAAATCACATACAAAGGAAAGCCCATCAGAATCACAGCAGACTTTTCAACACAAACCCTTGGGGCAAGGAGAGCCTGGAATGAGATATTTCAAGTACTAAAAGAGAACAACCTCCAACCTAGACTGATGTATCCAGCAAAACTCTCTTTCAAAATGGATGGGGAAATAAGACACTTCCACGACAAAGAACACCTGAGAAACTACATGAATACCAAACCAGCACTACAAGCAATTCTAAACAAGATCCTAGAAAAAGACAATGAAGGCAACAACACCATGAGGCCCAACAGAGCAAATCAAATAGGCAAGGCAAGAAATTAAAAGGAGAAGGTGAAAAAGTAAAAAGAGTCAACAAAAGGCCAATAACATGTCAATAATAAGTCAGTACATATCAGTTATAACCAGCAATGTCAATGGCCTCAACTCACCAATCAAGAGAAATAGACTGGCAAAACGGAAGAAGCAGCAAAATCTATCAATATGTTGTATACAAGAAACACACCTAGTGCAAAAAGGAGTCCAGAGACTGAAAGTGAAAAGATAGAAAACAATTCTCCATGTGACAGGAGCCCAGAAAAATACAGGGGTAGCAATCTTATTTGCAGACAAAGTAAATTTCAAACCAAAACTGAATCTGGTATTATTGATGTAGGACAGTACTGTATCATACCTCTATGAATGTAAAATATCTAGTACCTGCTTTATGATACATAGTAGGGACCGTGCTTTATCAGAGCTACATTTAATGATATTACTCTAGAATGTTCTCTTTCCAGATGATGATTAAGAGGCTAATAGAAAAAATGGTGCCAGGTACCACAACAGCAGCAGAACTTTGCTGTTTTCTGAATATAATTCTTTTCTTTTTTTTTTTTTTTTTAATGGAATGTGCTGAATGTCTATAATTTTGTTCAGATGACTGCAGAACCTGGAAAAGCTGTTGCTGCTATCGATGCATAACATACTATATTAGTCTTTATATATATATATAAACTGAATTTTGGGAAACTTTAACGGTGCTGCCAACTTTGGAAAAAGTCATCCCAATTTACTGTGTTGAGTTGGCATTGGACAGAAATGGACAACCATATTGGTCTAGAAATGTTAATTTATTTATTTATTTTTTTTTTTTTCCCTGTGTACAGGGGTAACACATCGTACTAAATATGTAAGGTCATATCTACGTGGGTTTGTTTACAGAAACTAATAAAGTATTCTCTAAATAATGAAAAAAAGAATAAGATAAGACTATAAGAGCGAGAAGCAATTTAAATATGTTCAGGGACCATTTTCATCTCCAGAATTAAGGATTATTTTAATGTTACATCATTGCCTTTTCTCTTTTACTTTCCTTTTTAGTTTTATTTTAGGATTCCCTATTTTTAAAGTTCACACAGAGATTTCTTTAACTGAAATACCGAATAGTTTCTTTGGTGTGAAAAACTATAATCCTAATGAGGATCCTAATGAGATAATTAATAATGTGAAATAGGAAGTAAAGGGCTAAAGGTATACGGAAAGTGGGAAGGGTGGGGGAAAGGTAATAAGGGAGAGGAAAAAAATATGAGAAACTGAAAAAATGGAAATAAAGTGTTTCTAAATGGGGAGGGGAGGAGGGGGTGAAGGGAGGGCAGGGACAAGGGGAAAAAATGAGAATCAAGACTTATTATGTAAAGATACAGAATCCCAATGATGAATGTAATTGTATTGTATATCTAGATTGTACCAATAAACTCAATAAAAAGGAAAAAAAATCAAAACAGTAGTTTCCTTGGGGGCAAGACATTAACAGAGGTGTTGGCTACATGTGTGTTTCACTATCAACACTCAATGAACTGAACACTTTAGATATGTGCACTTTACTGTATTTAAATTGTTAACCAAAGTAAAAGAATGGAAGCACAAAGGGATTCAAAAGAAAGTGACAATTCAGATTAAGCGAAGGAGGTCCCAAAGAAGAATAAAAACCAAGCAAGGGAATAAAACAAATACTAAAAACTGACTCAAGAAAACCTTCCAAGGCTGGAGAATTAGCTCAGTGTTGTTGCTGCCTGCCTTGAAAGCACAAGCGTCTGAGTTGGCGCCCCCGTACTGGGGGGAAAAAAAAGGGAAAAAAAAAGAAAAGAAACCTTCCAGCTGCCAGGAATACTTTTGGTAATTCTGAGGAACAGAAAGAAGACCAATGGGGTCTGAAGGCAGTGAGAAAGAAGAGGCAAACTGAGGGCACAGAGGCCAGATCAGGAGCACTTGGCTCTCGGTACCCAAGGGCTGCTGGTTCTAGAAACCAGCACAGCCCTCTAATCTGCGGGTGCTCCAGTCACTTATTTAAAATGACTTAGTGACTGTACATAACCTAAGCATATCTTCCTTTAAATCACCAAGGGATGACTTATAATACCTAAGACAATGTAAATGTTATGCAAATAGTTGTTATAATAGTCTAGGGCTACTTAAAAAGAATCTGTACATATTCAGTACAGATGTACCCCCCCTAATATTTTCAATCCTCAACTGGACGGAGAAGATAACTGTACAGCTTTGCAAGCTATCACCAAGACTTTTTTACTTTGAAGGGGACTAACATTTAAGTTCCAGAAGAATTAGTCTCACTGCTGTGTGAACAACTTTGGAGGTAAAATAAGTAGCTATAACTAAGACATAAACATTTTTAATAAATGATCTAAATGCATAACGAAAGACAGGAAAATAAAATCTAATACTGCATTCATCTAAGAAATTTAGGAGGCCAGGGATTCGGCTCAGTGGTTCTACTGTCTGCCTCACAAGCGCAAAGTCACAAGTCTGATCCCTGGTACCAATAAACAAACAAATTAATTAATTAATTTAGGTATTTACAACTAACAGAAGCACAAAAGGCTGAGAACATTTCTTCCTTCCCAGTTATCTAGCCCAGATACGTTTAAGGAAGATATCTTAAAGACAACCCTCCCAACCCATCTATGGTTTTAATTTATTTCATTAACTATTGCTCATGTTACCTGGTAAGTTTTCCCCCTGGATAAAGCCTCTATTTCTTCTCAAGTTTTCCTTTCTGTACCAGTACAGTGCAAACAGAGCAATAGCCTACCAGTAGCTAAATTTATTTGTCTTTAGAATATGCTATTTATGAACAATAACTATTCCCAAAATGAAATAAAGATTGTTCAGTTAGTTATGATATAGCAAGAGGTAACTCATACCCGTCTTTCTCAGATCCTGGAACAGTGCCAGTGTTGGTGGAGCCAGGCACAGAGGCAATGGGGGTGCCCACAGTTCCAAGATTCTGTATCACAGAGGACAGAAACTGCTGGCTGGCACTTTCATACAAATCAAAACAGATCTGATAAGCCATGAGGAGGTTGTCTTCCTTTACCAGTTTTTCTAAGATGTCACTCACAGCCTGAGGATCATCTAAGAATATTAAGC